AATGAGGATAGAGGCCTTGGCTATGGCCATCAAGGGTGATGTGATGTGTCTCAGAGTTGCTGCCCGTGCCCTAAGTGTTGTGTTGTGTGTCGCTCTCAGGACATTCCTCTGCTAATCCTGCCCTAATCAAAGCTGGCCCCACTCCCCAAGTCAAGTGCTGAGAGCCATGTCTGTAAGGCATGCTTGCTGCCCGCAAGCAGCTCCTACCCGATGGCTCTTAAAACGATAACAAAACACACACATACAAGACGCCATCCACAAATTCATACTCACCCAATACACCAAAGCAACCACAATAAAAACAGCACTCTCTGACCCAGTAACAGAAGCCAATATGCAAGGCAGACTTTGACAAGTACCCTCCATTTTGAGCTTAATGTTTGGAGTGCAGGCCTTTGAACCCAATCTGCAAAAGAAGCCCTTTCTGCCCCACCCATGAGCCCCCAGGGCTCCTCTCCCTACATAGCCGCTGGGAGAGGTCCACTGTTTGCTTCTCACGTCCCCACAGCTGTGGCCTCTTCCTCTGCCAGGAGCGGCTCTGGGGGGCTGAAGGGGACATTTCTTGTTCTGTCCCTCCTTCCTGCTTCTGATGAAGGCAGGGTTGGGGCCTTCCACCCAAAAGAGACCCATACGCACCCAGCCAGAGGAGGGGCTGACAGCTTTGTGGGGAAAAGTCAGAATTCTGGAGCTTGTGAATCCAGACGTCCTATAAACTCTGAGCAGAGAATAAACATCCCCCGGGACTGAGGGGAGGACAGTCCAGTGGGCAGGGGGCCCGGCGCCTCTGTCTGCCCTGGGGACAGGCTGTTTATTCTATGTCCCCCACAGGCTCTCTGCACTCCTTCCTGTCCCAGGTCTGGGTGAGTCACAGCAGGCCTGACAGCCCCACATGGGGGCCTGAGGCCTTGGACATCAGATCTGGACCTCTCAGGGCTGGAAAGGAACTTTAAAAGCTCAAACAACCAGCTGGGTGCAGTGGCTCACATCTGTCATCCCAGCACTTTGCAAGGCTGAGGTGGGCAGATCACAAGGTCAGGAGTTCAAGACCAGCCTGGCCAACATGGTGAAACCGTTTTTAGTAAAAATACAAAAATTAGCTGGACATGGTGGCATGCACCTGTAATCCAGCTACTCTGGAGGCTGAGGCAGGAAAACTGCTTTTCCGGGACTGGGAGGTGGAGGCTGCAATGAGCTGAGATCACAGCACTGCATTCCAGCCTGGGCTACACAGCAAGACTCCATCTTAAAAAAAAAAGAAAAAGCACAACAACCCCTTTACCCCGCAACACACACCTGGGCCACTCCTACCCCTTCCTCATCTAGACCTCGTGGCTGGTCTTCTGGTCTCTGCTGATAGAGAGATCACTCTTTTCCAGGGCAGTCCATTTTGTTTCTGGGACTCTCTGGCGGTTAGAAAGTGCTAGAATTGAGCTGACTAGAATTGTTCTGTGCCACCTGATTGGGAAGAACTAAGAACAATGTATACAACAAAATAATAGCAGGACCATTTTTTGTGCCAGGCACTTGCCACACATAATCTTGTTAAACCCCCCACCTCCCTTTCAAGGACATAGGCTCAGGGAGGTTAGGTCACTTGCCTAAGGTGACTTAACTGCTACATGGCAGGGATGAGGTTCAGGGCACTCCGGTTCAAAGTCTGTGCTTTAAATATGAATCTATACTGGCTCGTCATAATCAAAAAGCAAAAGTGGCACATATATCCACAAAAACACTATGCCACAGACTCGGGCTCATATAGACCAAACTGAGTTACAAACATCAGCCTGAACTTGTCAAATATTAAGTACCGTGACGTGCCAGGCAAACAATTTTAATGATGAATGCATTTGAACAACCCCATGAGGAAACGGAGGCCCACTGAAGTGAGGGTAGAGGACATGACCGTATCATAAGGGGTAGGGCAGACGTCCAGACGCCATTGCCTGAAGTCTGCTGTTTCTTCCCCACAGGAGGAGGACTTCTGCAAAATAAAAAAGAAAGCTTTTATAATTATAATTAGTTTCAACAACTAGAGTTTTAGAAGATAGACTGTGTATCTTTGGAGAGAAATGATATTCCTAGATTGATGGTACCCAGCAAAGGCACTTAGAAAGGTTCCCAATTTGGTAGGGGCTGGATAAGAGATACCCTACCTCTGATGGTCTATGGATGGTGAGCGCTAACAAGAGACTAGGTACAGCGTGGAGTCAATCTGCAACTCAGAAACACAAACTTGGTGTTTGGTTTCCTTCCTTCCTCCCTCCCTTCCTTCCTCCCTTCTTCCCTTCCTCTCTGCCCCTCTCTCTTTCCCCCTCCCTCCCTCCCTCCCTCCCTCCCTCTTTCTTTCCTTCCTTTGTGTTTTTTTTATTAGAGGCAGGGTTTCACCATGTTGGTTAGGCAGGTCTTGAACTCCTGACCTTGTGATCTGTCCGCCTCAGCCTCCCAAAGTGCTAGGATTACAGGCATGAGCCACTGCACCTGGCTTATAACTTGGTGTTTTCAAGGCTGGATGCTGGGCAGAAGACAGGCCTAGCCGACCCAGTCACCAGTGAACAAGACCACCTTTTGGGGTCCTACCCTAACTCACATTTTCTTGACTTCCCCCTGTGTGGAGGAGACATTGATACCTGAGCAAAGGGTCATGTCGACATGGTAGCCCCTCTGCACATCCCAGGGGCCGCCCCTTTACCCAGGCCTTTCCCTTTTTTGAAAACTGGGAGCTTGCTGGCTGGGGCTGTTCCCACCAACAATGTTCCCGTCCAGGGAGCTTAAAATAGCTCCTCTTGGCTGGGGCTCTGGAGTGAGCAGTGAGGCAGACATTTGTGCAAATATGGGCCTAGGAGAAGGACTTCTACCGGGGGGGTGGGGGGCAGTGTGGCAGGAGATCCAGGACCTCCCGAGGGGGCTGCACCCTCCTGGCCGCAGCCAGCAAAGGCACAGGCTAGCCTCTTCCCACCTTCCCTGACTTTACTGGGTCCACTTGGGCAAGTTCTTAGACCAAATCCTTCAGGTCTGCCTGGCCTCGCCAACACTCTGGGGTGGGCCCACTGGAAATAGGCACCTTTGCATTCTTCTGCTGGTTCTAGCCTTGTCCCCACTTCGTAATGTCCTTCACCTTAGGAACACGCCAGAAGCATCCCGAAGGCCCAACTCAAAACTCACTTTAACTGACGGAATGACAGTTGCAGCCAGCATTAATGGGTGCCTACTTCTCCCAGGCATTGTGCTAAGTACTTTAACATGCATTATCTCATTTGATCCTCACAATAATCCACTGAGAGCCAAGTTATTATTATCTTCACTTTGCAGAAGAAACAAAAGCTCAGAGAAGTCAATTATTGTTCCCAAGATGACACAGCTGTGAAGGGGCAGGGCCAGGATTGAAACTCAGGTCAGCCCATCATCTGTGGAGCCTGACCTCTGCCTCCAAGCTGCATTTCCTTCTCCAGGTCCCACCGCCCTGGCCTCCTGCTCTGTCCCAGCATGGCCTCCCTATATTACACTCAGTTGGATTCAATGTATCAATATTTTAGTTCATGCCAGGAACGCCACTAGGTGCCACACAAGCACCCTGGGAGCTCTCAGATCCCCCGATGACTAAGTTTGGGCGTGGGTTTAACACTGAACCTGCCGGGTCTGGATTGCTTGAGGCTGTGGGGCAAGGCTGAGGGCATCACAGACCGTGCTTAATGACCAGCTGACCAACTGGACATTCCCTCTTCACCCCTGGCTGCTGTGCTCCTCTCCTTGCCCTACTGCAGGGAGCAGCATGTACAGGAGTCAGACAAACTTGCAGTGAATCTTCTGTGACTTTGGGCAAGTGACCAACCACTCTGAGCCTCAGTTTCCCCATCTGTAATTCAGAATAAAAGTAGGACCTCACCCAGTGTTATTGGGAGGATTTCATGAAGGATTTAGCTTAGGGCCTGGCAGTCAGTAAGTGGATATTAAGCAGCAGCTATTATTGTTACTAACTGTTATTTTCTGTGAATTAAGGTGTCCAGGTGCCAAATGCCTGGGATCTGGCACACAGCCGGTGCTCAAAGTAAAGGCAATCACTCAGCAGACAGAAGCCCCCACCAGACACCCGGCCGGCTGTGGCATTCCTGCTCTGATGTGTCCTAGGCTCTGGTCCCCATCAACAGTAGGGTCACTATGGAAGCCAGGTACAGGCGCAGGGCCCCACCCACTTGCCCCATCCCCTCATTCTCAGCTCCTGGCCGCTCCTGGGGAGAGGTGGCAGAGACCTCAGTCTGCACATTTTTCAGGGTTGGCTGGCTTTCTCGTGGCGCCACCTGGTGGTGAGTGCAGCACTGCTCCTGGCAGTGCTCTGAGCGAGACCGTGGCCACCCACTGCCCCTCCCCCTCTAGCTCATCAGCCCAGTCCTTCATTCACACGTGCTGACCACCTTCTGCATGAAAAGACCCAAGGACCCCAGCCTCACTTGTGGGGTGGGAGTCCCGAAAGCCCAGTTCCTGCGCCTCCCTTTCAGGCCTGGCGCTGAGTCCTGGGGCTGGGTCCCACAAGCCTGCCTGGGTGCACACTAAGGATATCAAGAAGGGCAGATGACCCTCCAGGGGTTTCTAAAAACCAAGGCGGTAAGAAGGTGCCTCCCTCCTGGTCTCAGATGGCCCAGGAATGGGAAACCCAATGACCGTTACTGGGTTCATGCCCAACTCCTCATAGCACCTGCCTGGGGACCCCAAAGCTCCTATCCCCACTGTGAGGGATCTGGGGCCCCCAAAAGCACTGGCCTGGCTCTTTGGCCCCCGCCAGGCCAGCAAGGAGGCCCATCCTGGCCCAGAGCTGTTTGTATAAAGTCTGAGGGAAGAGCAATGAATGACTTAGGAGATGGAGTTCTGCTCCCAGCTTTGGCACAAATGCACTGTGTGAACCGGGGTAGGACCCTCCCTTACCCAGGTCTCCTGTAGTAAAACGGGTGGGAGGAGGAGGCCCGATGATGGGTGAGGACCTGTGTAGCTCCCAGAATGAACTTGTGCTAAGATGCAGAGTTCGGTGCCGCTACTTCAGCATCTCTGGGGCTTGGACCCTGAAATCTAAAGTAGCAGCACTGCAGCCAGAGCTGGGGATGCTGACCAGTCAGTCCTGGCCCAGGGAGGCAGAAGTGAGGGATGCAGATTGCCAGCAGGTAAGAAGGATGTGGTGGTTTCAGGGGTCCCCCAGATACCTGTATCCATCTTTTAGTTTCTCACTGTTCTGTGCATAGGGGAGGTTCGCCCCAGCTGCATGTCTGTGGGACCCCACTGCTAGCAGCAGCAGAGCGAGTGCAGAGAGCCAGTACAGAACCCAGACAGGCCGCCCAGGCTGGTGGGGACTGGGCCTTGTTGCCTGAGAAGGTATTTTCAGAGTCCCCCTCCCTCCAGAGTTTCCAACGAGAGAATAGAGCCCTGTCTAGTATTTGACCAAATATGGTGGCATCTCTCATGCTCGAGACCCAGCCAGCGTCTCAGTTATGCTGTGGAAGCCTGCCCCGGACAGATTAATCTTGTGACATCCAGGAGAGCCTCTCAACCTACATTCTTCCCCTTGGACGATTCCTGTAAATGGCGAAGACCGGCCTTCAGCCTGACAAGGCCGTCCTCAGTGTCTTTTCACAATGCCCCTCCTCTGCCCTCCTCATACTACCTCCCGCCATTCCTGCCTCCCTGGGTGGATTTGCCCACTCACATTGGGCTGGGCTGTTTGCTTGAGGTGAGAGACACTGGCCAGAGGAGCTGGTCAGATGAGCATGTGATTCCAGGACCTCTGGGCCCTGGGGTCATCTGACCTCACAAACTTGTGGCCTGAGTCTTGGAGGCCGAGACCTCTCTCAGCAGCCATGAGGGTGGACCTGAGGGGGTGGAGGGGAGAGTCAGGAGAGTAATGAGAACTGTGCTAGCTCTAATGCTAATTGAATGACTAATGTTTATAATAATCATTATACAATTACTTTATAGTAATTTCTGTAATAAACAACTAAGTGTTTATTGAGCACTTACTGTGTGCCAGGTACTGATGCCAGCTATTTAACATGGGTTATTTCCCTTCTGCCTTACAGCAGTCTCAAGAGGGTGCCATGATTCTTTCCACTGTAGATGAGGGAATTGAGGCTCAGAAAGATTTCAGGAGGGAATGGGCCAGGCCACTGTCTATTTCTGAGTACACCCACCTTTTTTGTGGAGGAGGGAACTGATGCTGGGAGAGAATGAAGCTCGCATGGAGCCACATAGGCTCTGAGAGTGGAGACCACCCCAGCAGGGAGAGTGCTGTGTCAGGACGGCCAGAACAATCGGCCATAAGTCCTCATGGATCTGCAACTTGGCCTAAGTGAGAGCATATTGCGTCAGAAATATATTCACAGCAGGCTGAAGTTGTGCGGAAAACATCCCAAGAAAAACAACATGGGGTGGTGGATAGAGCACTGGATGGGGACCAGCTGGAAACAGCAGCTCTGACATCTCTAACTCACTGTTAATAGTCACAAGTCCCTTCCTCACTCCAGCCTCAGTTTACCTGACTGTGATCTAGAGGGGTGGGGCTTTGGTCTCCTAGGGTTGCGGAACTCACCTGAGGCTGGCAGAAGCCTGAGGCTGTTTCTCTGGGAGATGGGGTGCCCGCTCCTGGCCAGCACGGTCTGAGAACATTTGCTCTCCCGACCAACAGACGGCCCATCCCTCCTCCACCCTCACCCCCTTGCCATCCCCAAAGCAAACGAAGCTGATTGTCTTAGCTGGCCCTGTGGGTGCTGGCTGAGCAGCAGGCCGCAGGCCACAGGCGGAGGTGCCACCGGCCAGAGCCCCACCAGACACACAGGGCATTGTCCCTCAGTCAACAGCCCCTGGGCACCTCAGCTCGGCTCCTGGCCTGCCCCCACGCAGCTCACCGCCTGCCACTGGGCTAGGCTTAGCCAGCTGGGGGCCCAAGGCTCCCAGCTGATGATGAGCCCACCCACTCACTCCCCCAGCGGCCCCCAGTTGAGCTATAATTGCTTCGCTCCATCCTGTTGCTGCCATTCTCTCGGCGGCATCTGGGGTTCCAGGCGGGCAGCAGCTGCAGGCTGACCTTGTAGCTTGGCAGAATGGACTGGCCTCACAACTTGGTACGTGGCGCTTCCCTGCTGCACCCCCACCCCTTTTTAGAGCCCAAATATGTCAGTTTTTCTTTCCTATTGATTAATGGCTGCCTCTGTTTGGTTTGGAATCTGCAGAGGCGACATCTCTGTCTTCTCCCCCAAGACTAGAAAGAAACAGAGACTGTCTCAGAGGCCGCAGCCGTGGGCAGCAGCACAGTCTCCTGAACTGGGCTCAGCTGGGGCACACTGAAGTCTTTTCAGACGGGAGGTGTCTGGGGAGGTCCCGGCAAACTCAGTCAGCGGGGGTTTTCCAAAGAGACCTGGCCTCGAGGTCCTGGCTGTATGACCTTGGGCAAGTCCTTCTGTTTCTCAGTGTCCCATCTGGAGATGGGACTTTGAGGGAGGGGGCTTTGAGTCTATTCTAGGTTTCTCCGAGTGGAGAGCCAGAGTTTAAGAATGCCCTGTGAGAAATTCCGATGAGAGAGCCTATTGTTAGGGAGACATTTTTTCTGCACTAGAATCTAGGACCAAAAAGGAAGAATTTAGCAACTTGAATCTCTGTTGCAGATTCTGTGCCAGCAAATACTTCTGCCAAGAGGGGCTCTGCTGAAGCTTGTTTTCTAGGGTCGAGGCTTGCAGCATAGCCTGGATAAAGCAGGCATGGGCCATGGGGCTGTGGGGCTGTGGGGTGAGGCATACAGGGAACGCATGGAGCCCATCTCAATGTAAGAGGAGTCAGTGGTGCCTCCATCCTGGGACCTCTGCCCCACACATAGGCACTGGCCCTTCTCTCTCTGGATTCCTTAGGAGTCTGGGTTATGCCAGGCCTGAGTCCTCTTCCTTGTGAGCCAAAGCTTTTCCTGATGCTCTCGGCGCTGGGAGGGAGAAGTGGATGGCAATGGGTATGTGTGTGTGTGTGAGGAGGTCTTGGGGGATGGCTGGAGAGGGAAGGCTAAGGGTGGAGGGTAGTGCAGGTGGACAAAGTGTCCACAACTTGACTCACAAAAAGAGACTTGGCTCTCCCACCTTTAGCCCACGACTTGCCCATCTCCCCAACTTCATGTCATGCCCTCTTCCTCCCGCCCACTCTTAACATTCCATTCAGCAAAGTTCTTAATCAGTTCCAATCTCCTCTCTCATGTACCCCCACCTGCCCCTCCTACACCTGTAAGACTTCACCTCCTTCTGCCCATGCCTGCCACGCCTCATCTGACATGTCCCTTCCCCAGAAAAGTTTCCTAGGCCATTGTCGTGGCACAGGTAAGCAGGGGGCCCCATTGTTCTCCAGCCACACACTGAACAGGGCCATCCTGGACTTGTTGCTAGTGAGACTTGGGTATTTGTCTTCTTGTTCACTGTTTTCCTTCTCAGACATAAATGACAGAAGGGCAGCGATGGGGACAGTCAATCATTTACTCAGTGAATGTCCACGGAATGTACCATGCAGACCCGGGGGATATGACAGTGCATGGAAACTGACACATGCCCCCACGGAGTCCCTGCTGAGTTGGGGGCAGACACATAAAAGAACTGTACATACAAACTGTAAGACTGAAGTCATGCAAGAGGCATGTGGGTTATGAGAGCCCAAAAAAGTCCAGAGGCATCCCTAGGGACATGGCACTAGAGCTGATGCATGAGGGCTGGGAAGGGGTCCAGGAGGCGAGGAGGCAGAATGCTGCAGGCAGGGGCCTGTGCAAAGTCCCTGTGGCAGGAGGGAGCATGCTGAGAGAAAGAATGAGGGCAGACCAGAGGCTGGAGCACACATGAGAGAGGAATCAGGGGGTGATTTGAGGAAGGAGAGCTGAGGGATGGTGGGCTGTGTCAGACCTGAGCCTGGAAGACCCCTAAGGACAATGAGAAAGAACCATGGACCTCAAGTCTAGGTCCAGAAAAAGACTTGACTCTCCCACCTTTGACCTTGGCTTTCCTCCCCAGCTGTTCCTTCTTATCATTTCCATCTTCCTGGGGCTGAGCCAGCCGAGGAGCCCCAAAGGCAAGAGGAAGGGGCAAGAGCGGTCTGGGCCCCTGGCCCCTGGCCCTCACCAGGTGCCACTGGACCTGGTGTCACGGGTGAAACCGTACGCCCGCATGGAGGAGTACGAGAGGAACCTCGAGGAGATGGTGGCCCAGCTGAGGAACAGCTCAGAGCTGGCCAAGAGCAAGTGTGAGGTCAACTTGCAGCTGTGGATGTCCAACAAGAGGAGTCTGTCTCCCTGGGGCTACAGGTAGGCTGGGCAGTGGTGACAAGCTGTCTTTGTGGGGTGGGGGCCTTTCCCGCACTTCAGTCATTGTGATAGTTAAGATCTTGGATTCAGAGGTCTGGGTGCTTGGGTTTGGATCCTAGCTCTGCCTCTTACTCGCCTTTGAGGCTTTGGGCAAATGGATTAGCCTTTCTGAGCCTCAGTTTCCTCAGTGTAAAAGGAGGCAATGGTAGTACCTACTTCAGAGACTTGTTGTTAAATGAGATATCCATGTGGACAACTGCCCTTATTGTTCTTCAAGTCTCCACGGAGCTGCCTGCAAGGCTTTCCCCAGATGTCACCTCCTCTGCTCTGTGGGTCTCATATGCCCTTCTCAGATGTCTATGCAGCGTTACCATCTGTCTCTCATGCCTGGCCTAGGCCTTCCCAGTGCCTGTATCAGAATCACCTAGGAACTCCCATGCCCCACCAAAACCTCCAGCGGCGAGGCCCAGGAAATGCTGTTTCCTCTAGCTCCATGTGATCAGGACGCACGGCAGGCTGTGATTTGGGAATCAAGACCTGCTTCCCTGATGACGATGACAGCAGCGTCCTCCCTTGGTTGTAGCTCTGCTTTCTCACTCAGTGCCTGAACCACAGAAAGGACCAAAGATGAAGGAATGGGCTGACCCTCAGGTCTTCACTCATAAACCCAGGCCAGGGATTTTTCAGGCACATGACATATACCCTGAGATTCTAGAATAGCACTATTCACCAGGACTTTCTGTGATGATGTAAAGTTCAGTACAGTAGCCGTGAGCCTCGTGTGGCTACTGAGCTCTTGACATGTGGCTATGTGATTGAGGGATTAACTTTGATTAAATTTTTCAATTTTTTGCTTGAGACAGTGTTTTGCTCTGTCACCCAGGCTGGAGTACAGTGGCATGGTTTCGGCTCACTGCAGCCTCTGCCTCCTGGGCTCAAGCAATCTTTCCACCTTAGCCTTCCAAGTAGCCGGGACCACAGGCATGCATCACCATACCTGGCTAATTTTATTTATTTATTTATTTATTTATTTATTTATTTATTTATTTATTTATTGGTAGAGACAGGATCTCACTACAAAACCCAGGCTGGTCTCACACTCCTAAGCTCAAGCAATCCAGTGGCCTCGGTCTCCTAAAGTGCTAGGATTATAGGAGTGAGCCACCATACTCACTCAGCCTGATTAATTTAAACTGAAGTTGACACATGAAGCTAGTGGCTACTGCACTGGACAATGCAGCTCCCGAATGTGACCATTGGAAGGGCTGGTAAAGATCCTCCAGAGCGGAGCTTTTCACACTTGACTGTGCCCATGACTCACTCAGGCATCTGATAAAAATGTAGCTTCAGATTTAGGAGGTTCTGCATTTCTAGAGAGCTCCTAAGCATAAAGTGATACTAAAGATGCATGTCCACAGGTCCAGCTCACCCACTTCCTTGTCCCCTATTTAGCAGATGGGGAAACTGAGGTGCAGAGCAGGAGAGGTCACAACGCAAGTCCATGTATGGGAGGCTCCATGAGAGCACTAGGAGGGAACTTGTCTGCTTTGTTCATCAATGAACAACCAAAGTCTGGGACAGAACCGCTCACATGGTGAGCATGTAAGTGTAGAATGAATGGAGATTAAGTCAGAATAGAACCAGACCTCCTGACTTCTTTGCCAGTGGAAATTAGGCATCAATAAAACTAATCCACCTTTTATTTCTGTGGATTAAGTTTCCCAACAATATATAAACACAGTGGGGGTGGGGCAGGCAGGGGGAGGCCCAAAGCTACTCTACCATCCCAATGGTACAACCTAATACTGTGATGGATGTCCACAAAAGAAGGAAGTTGGGTGACTGGTGACCTTGAAGCTGGGTAACCTTGGGGCTCTCGACTTGCCTTCCATGATCTTCAGCGTCCTCATGTGGAACATGGAATTGATTACTGCCTTTCCTCCAGCCCAACAGTCTTGTTGTGGGAAGTAAAACTCTGATTAGGAAAGGCAGGGGTGTGGGCTATGGGTGCTGACTGGCTGTTTCCCGATCACCTTCCACTCTGCTGTTTCTCCTGCTCCCCGCAGCATCAACCACGACCCCAGCCGTATCCCTGCGGACCTGCCGGAGGCACGGTGCCTGTGTCTGGGCTGTGTGAACCCCTTCACCATGCAGGAGGACCGCAGCATGGTGAGTGTGCCGGTGTTCAGCCAGGTGCCAGTGCGCCGCCGCCTCTGCCCGCCACCGCCCCGCACAGGGCCCTGCCGCCAGCGTGCGGTCATGGAGACCATTGCCGTGGGCTGCACCTGCATCTTCTGAACCACCTGGCGCAGAAGCTGGGCCAGCAGCCCAAGCCATCCTCCCTGCACTCTTGTGCCAAGAAAGGCCTATGAAAAGTAAATGCTGACTTTTGAAAGCAAGACTTTGGGTTTGCTTCTTGTGGCTTCGAAGTCAAAAACAGGGTCAGGTTAGGAGGTTCCTGGGAGGTAGATTTCAGATTAATATAAAGGAGATTTTCCATTACTCTTGAGTTCTCCAACACTGAGATGGCCTATTAGATAATAATGTGTTCACTTCTACCACTTAGGGCCGTTATGTGTTTCTTTTATTTATTTTATTTTGAGACAAGGTTTCACTCTGTTGCCCAGGGTGGCCCAGTCACAGCTGGCCAGTCACAGTGGCCCAGTCACAGCTCACTGCAGCATCAACCTCCCCAGGCTCAAGTGATCCTCCCACCTCAGCCTCCCAAGTAGCTGTGACTACAGGCTTGTGCCAGTACACCAAGCTAATTTCTGTATTTTTTGTAGATGCAGGGTTTCCCCATGTTGCCCAGGCTGATCTTCAACTCCTGGGCCTCTCTGCAGGTCAGACTTCTGCCCACCTCGGTCTCCCAAAGTGTTGGGATTACAGGTGTGAGCCACCACACCCGGCCCCTGTGTTTCCTTTAATTTGGGTTTAAAAGTCTATGTTTCAGCCATGTTAATGTGGCTTGGTTGCTATAAACAAATACAGGAGTTAACAAGAGCTAATAACTCTACCCACTTAAGGGTGACTGGAAACAAGCTCTTTTGAAGTGGGGAGTGGGGAGCTCCCCATCTCTGAAAGTGTCATGTTAAAACCAAGCCTCTCAAAGATATTATGGAGCAGACCTCTGCTCTGGTTGGAGCAGATGATCTAGAAAGTCTTTTTCAGCTTTGAGATTCTCTGCACATCAGACTTGGACCCAAAGAAAGGCCTCCAGGTTGCCAAAGAGCAGGTGTTTTTAACCTGGGATAGTGCATCCCTGAAATTTTTATGCAAGTATGTACTTTTTCTGAGCTGAGGATTCCTAGGTTTGAACAGACACTTGTAAGTTGAGAAGTGTCAATGTAGATCATTCTATCTTCCAGCCCTGTTCAAAAGGGGATCTTATTCGATGGTTTGCTGCTATCAGTGATCCTACTTTAGTGAGCATCAGAATCTCCTGGAGGGATTGTTAGAACAACAGCTTGCTGGGCATGGTGGCTTACTCCTGTAATACCAGCACTTTGGAAAGCTGAAGCAGGGGGATTGCTTGAGCCTCAGGAATTTGAGACTAGCCTGGGAAACATGGCAAAACTTCATCTCTACAAAAAAAAAAAAAAAAAAGAAAAATTAGCCCAGCATAGTGGCATACGCCTGTAGTCCTAGCTGTTAGAGAGGCTGAGGTGGGAGGATCACTTGAGCCTAGGGAGGCTGAGGCTGCAGCGAGTCATGACTGCACCAGTTCACTCTATCCTGGGTGATAGAGTGAGACTCTGTAAAAAAAAAACCAGAAAAAAGCCGAAAACGGCAGTGTGGACTGATACCTGATACGCCCTAAAGCCCGTGCTGACTCTTGTCCCCTGGATGCGACTCCCCACTTCCCCCTTTATCCCCTAGCAATTCAGTCCTCCCCCTGGGCCCTCTAACCCCTGCAGCAAATCCCAAATCAGCTGTTCTAGGGTCTAAAAATACCGTCCCTCCAGCAAGACAGCTGAGGGGCTCAGACTATTTTCTGAGGGTAAGAATAGCTAGCCCTTTAATTTCAGTAAAAGGGCCAACGGCCCAGGACAGGAATACGTGGCTTGGCTGCTCTAACTTTAGTGCTTAAAGCAGTTTTAGCCCTGAATGTCTTAAGGGTTTAATTCATAAAAGGCCAGTGGTTAGGTATGTGCCTGCCTCGGGTGGTAAGTAACTTACCTTTTTTGGTATTGTTCTAGAGTGGATACTGGTTAAAATTACTCCAGGAAGCTTTGGCCTGGTTCCAGACACATGGAAAATAGACTTCCTGTGCTAGGGCACGCTGATCCCTTCAGCATCTGCTTCTCCACCCTTGGGGCTGCTCTCCAGGTCTTCAGACTTCAGCCCCACATGAAAGGCCCACAGCTTCCAAGCCCTTCCTGTGGGGTGAGGGTGTGGAAGAACTGAGCTGTAGAAGGGTTGCCTGCAGTCCTGGGAGACCCTACGTGCTCTGGGGCATAAGGGCTGGTGGGGAAACCCCCCACTGTGGTGAGAAGAGGGTGTCTTACTTCTACCCAAGCATCAGGAACCCCCAGATGCGCCATAAACACCAGCTAGTTTCATACGGATGATGCCTTTTCCTCTTTCTGGGCTTTGGATTCCTCATCTGTGAAATGAATAGATGGGATCTGGGGATCTCCAGGGTCTTTCCCAGGCTTACCATCCTCTGACTTAGAAGGTTGGCCTTGGTGGCTGGGCTGGCCCCGGCATAGCTCTGAGTCCCAGCTGGCTCCTCCCAGGCCCCCAGTTTAAAGGCAGCAGCAGGGAGCTCAAGTTCTTTGGAGGGATGGGTCTATACAGCACCCTGGAACTTCCTTTGGTCTGAATCTAAGTGTGTTTCATGTTTGCCTCCTCTAGCAAAAAGCTCATACTCCATGAGACAGGGGCATCATCCCTCGCTCAGCACTGCACCTCAAGCACCTGGCACAGTGTCCAGTGTGGATAGGGGCGCTGTGCTTAGTGAATGAATGCATAGACGCCTCTAAGGGGAGCCCAAGATTGGCCTCCTGCCTTCCTCTATTTTGCCTTCATGGGTGGGCCAGAGAAAAGAATTCCTTATCAACCTCCCTGGTCCCCCGCTGCCAACCACCCACTCCAATTCTACCTCCTACAGCTGCCACTTAACCCCCAAAGTCCTGAAATTTTTGCTTGGGTCACTTGCTCCAGGAGTCAGTTCTCATGAAGGGTATTAAACATCTACTACACTGCATCCTGGACTACTGAGGATGTGTGGCCCTTTTCTTGTTTCGTTTGGCTGTCTTTTCAAATGTTTTCTCCCAGAGGTCTGTGAGCCCCTTGGGGCTTCTGTCCAGGCCTAAGAAGGCGGGGGTGGGCTTTGGGGCAAAGGCTTCCTACTGGTTCTCATTTCTGGAATCTGTCCTTTCCTCCCTGCCTCCAAGGAATCAGGTTTGGGCTTGGGGAGGCAGGCAGTGTGGGCATTTTGGCTGGCTTTGGTTCTGAGCTGTTTGGGCCTACCCAGGTAAAGAGGTTTCTGAAGGACACAGCCAGTTCTCATGCAGTCATGCATGGACATGGGGCCAAAGCTCAGCCGAGGACTGAGGATCAAATGTAACTGCCTTGGTTTGTGTCTTCTGTGCACATATTCTCTGTAGGGATGCAATGGTGGGGTGGTTATCAAGGATAAGTTTTGTATTGTCCAGTGCTGGGCCAATACCAGTTACACCATGACAGCACATGCCATCTTCATTTCAAACAGACCATGAAAAGATGCCATTACACACTTTGATTTCACTGGACTTGAGAGTCCCATCTGCATGTGGCTGACATTGTGGCTCTCTCTCCAATACCCTTTCCCCCTCTGACTTTGAGGTTTGGATGAGACCACTTCTGTTCCAGGGATGGGACCTGACTGCTCTAAGCCAATCTGGTTAATCTCACATCCTCCCTGCCCTCCATCATGGTTACTGGTCTTGTATCTGAATCCCAAGTCAATCAGCATTCAGTATTCCCTGGGCCACAGGAATTGGTTCAGGGGTGGTCTAGCTGGCCCAGAGCCCAAAATTTGGTTCAGTGGTCATGAGAAAAGACCTTTTCTTCCTGGGAGCTATTGGCAGCCATCTTGGACCATGAGAAAAGTCGTGGAACTGTGAGATTGCACAGTGCTCTATGTCTAGATTTTTAAGCCACAATAACTGATAAAAACTTTTTTTTTTGAGTTAAGGTTTCACTCTTGTTGCCCAGGCTGGAGTGCAGTGGTGTGATCTTGGCTCTCTGCAACCTCCACCTCCTGGGTTCAAGCAATTCTCCTGCCTCAGTCTCCCAAGTAGCTGCGATTATAGGCATGTGCCACCACACCCAGTTAATTTTGTATTTTTAGTAGAGACAGGGTTTCTCCATGTTGGTCAGGCTGGTCTTGAACTGCCGACCTCAAGTGATCCACCCGCCTCAGCCTCCCAAAGTGCTTGGATTACAGGCGTTAGCCACCGCACCTAGCCACAAATAAAAACTTTTTATTGCTTAAGTCAATTTGAATTTGGTTTTCTACTACTTCATCAAAAGTCTTCTTACTCGGGGCCGGGCGCAGTGGCTCATGCCTATAATCCCAGCACTTTGGGAGGCCGAGGCGGGTGGATCACGAGGTCAAGAGATGGAGACCATCCTGGTCAACAAGGTGAAACCCCGCCTCTACTAAAAATACAAAAATTAGCTGGGCATGGTGGTGCGTGCCTGTAGTCCCAGCTACTCGGGAGGCTGAGGCAGGATAATTGCTTGAACCCAGAAGGCGGAGGTTGCGGTAAACTGAGATCGTGCCCATTGCACTCCAGCCTGGGTAACAACAGTGAAACTCTGTCTCAAAAAAAAAAAGTCTTACTTGGCTGGGTGCAATGGATCACCTGAGGCCAGAAATTTGAGACCACCTGGCCAACATGGCGAAACACCATCTCTACTAAAAATACAAAAAATTAGCCATGTGTGGTGGCTCACGCCTGTAATCCCAGCTACTTGGGAGGCTGAGGTATGAGAATTGCTTAAACCTAGGAGGCGGAGGCTGTAGTGAGCCAAGATCAGGCCATTGCCCTCCAGCCTGGGCAACAAGAATTAAACCATCTCAAAAAAAACAAAGCTTTTTACTGACGTGTTGGTTTCATAATTTCCATAGTTATAATAAGTGCATACTACTTCTATTTTCTTTCAATGAACTGCCCATTACCATTACCCTGGCACAGTAAAAATCACCTCAGAGTCAGTTTGGGCCTCCACCATCTGGAAGGGTATTTTGCCCATGAATTTGGCAGTGTTGTTACTCTGGGCCCCCAGGCCCTTTCCCTAAAGCCTGATTTAGCGAGTCTTTAAGTATCTTCATCTTTCTCAAGGCCCTCTACCCTTCCCCAGGAGATTCTAATGTAGTTGTTGGTCCCTGGGTGCCTAAGACTTAGTT